AAATTAAGGGTGCACACTATTGCTGAAAAATACAATCACTACTTAGCAGTCAGATGTCCGTATGCACAAAGGCACAGATCACTAAACAAGACCATATCTGCAGATGAAACTTTTTTTGTAGAAGCATTTTTTTAAATTTGAACTAGCACCTCATGACTACACGTTATGTACGAGAAGCTGCAAAAGACACATGCACAAGTGGAACGTACAAAACATGGTGACATTAATTTTTAAGTAAACATAATGGGCGATATATTGCATCGCCAAAAATTATTGAGGTCATGTACATCCATTGCACGATAAGTCTGTATATAGATTATTGCGACAGGCCTAACTTGCATCGCTTGACACGCCCATATTCTGTTGCCAACGATCTGTCGCTCATGTCGCCGGAAGTCACCAGCTCTCCATTGAAAATGAATGGGATCTTGTCTCTTTGTCACTGGCGGTGTTAATGGGGCTTGAATAATAAACATGCATAAATGAGAAAATAAAGCACGGGTTGTGATTGGCCGAATACCTCAAGCGTGTGACGGAAATGTTACGCCCCTTACCATACTGTGATGCCGTGTCCCGGTGCGACGAGACAAAACCAATAAAACCCATTATAAATGAGGCATTTGTTGCATCCAGTGAGGACATAATTACTGATTATAATGACTAATACTGTCTTTTTATGCGCTGCATTGCATCTCGCCGCGTAAACATAAAACTAGGGCTGGACGATATCGCCAAAATTTATATCACAATATATTTCTTAATTTCGGACGATACAATATAATTCCGATATCGATATGAACACTATTAAAAAAGCCTCGTAAAAACTGCCAAGAATGCCCACAACAGACGTCTGTGCATACAAACTTATGAAAAATTAATTTGCCAAGTCTACAACACCTCATATAAAACCATATATTTTAGAAAGAAAAAAAAACATCACAAATAAATGAATGCTGACCTTTTATTTGTATTTAGACTTCAATCAAACAAGAAATGTGAAATCACTGTCAAATAATTGTCTCAGACTCACCTAATTAATATTAATATCTTTAACTTCAAACTATAGACTAACATACACTACCAGTCAAAAGTTTTTTTTATGTTTTTAAAGAATTCTCTTCTGCTCACCAAGCCTGCATTTATTTCATCCAAAATACAGCAAAAACAGTAACATTTTGAAATATTGTTACTATTTAAAATAACTGTTTTCTATTTGAAAATATTTTAAAATGCAATTTATTACTGTGATTTCAAAGCTATATTTTTAGCATCATTACTCCAGTCACACAATCCTTTAGAAATCATTCTAATATTCTGATTTGCTGCTCAAAAATTATTTATTATGTTGAAAACAGCGGAGTAGAATTTTTTCAGGTTTCTTTGCTGAATAGAAAGTTCAGAAAAACAGCATTTATCTGAAATAGAAATCTTTTGTAACATTATAAATGTCTTTATCATTACTTTTGATCAATTTAAAGCAGCCTTGCTGAATAAAAGTATTAATTTCTATAATTTCTTTCAAAAAAAAGAAAAGAAATCATACTGCCTCCAAGCTTTTGAATGGTATAGTGTATAATGTTACAAAAGCTTTTTATTTTAGATAAATGCTGATCTTTGGATCTTTCTATTCATCAAAGAATCCTGAAAAAAAAAATTTACTCAACTGTTTTAAATATTGATAATCAGCAAATCGCCATATTAGAATGATTTCTGAAGGATCATGTGACACTGAAGACTGGAGTAATGATACTGAAAATTCAGCTTTGATCACAGGAATAAATTACATTTTTAAATATATTCAATAGGGGTGCTCCGATTGATCGGCTACCGATCACTATCGGCCGATATTCGCTTTGGGATGATTGATTGTCTCTAAAAAGGCCGATCTCAAAAAAACGATCTCAAGCTAATGCCTGCCATGAGAGGTTTGGCACGGCACCGTCTCAGTCTCAGTCTCTGTCCGGCTCGGGTGAAATAATTATAATGCTGAAGGTGAGGTACTCAGGAATTGTCACGTGCATAATCGAGGCAGTGTCACATCGTCACTAAAGTTTATAAATTGCATTACTTTTTAATTCTTGCCTGTGCTTAACCATTCAGCGCTCGCGCGCTCACCTGGAGGCCGTGCGCTCATGCACACTCGCAGCGCACACACATAATGCCAGGTTCACATTACTCTGTTTGCAGTGCGAATGTGGTGTGTATTTTTTCCGCGCACATGTTAACAGATTAATAAAGAGTTCATACTGCACACGGTTGCCGTCCGGCAGTGCGTTCCAGGAGTGGTGTGTCTGCAGCAGTGCAGAGACAGTTTCCGCACAAATCTATTTTTGCTGAGCTGCAAGCACTGAATTAAAGTAACAGCACATTTTTTGCAGTAAATAGGAACATGGATTGACACGAAAATTTAGTAATTACACCATAAATGCATATTATTAAAGTCTACTGTGTTTCACAGTCAACACATATGGCTTTTAGCTAGGTTTAAAGGGAAAAAGCGCTTTTAGAGCACTTTTAGATAAACAAGGCAATAATAGATGGCACTCGTGGAGGTAGGAAAACAAAGTTCTTTATGAACCGCAGGATTGCTTGTAATAAAGATTTCAATGCAAAAGGAAAGGAAGTAGAGCTGACTATTTCTGTCAATGGTAAGTTTGTGATAACGTCAGAAAAGTAATTTACATGTTTTGCCACTTGCTTGAGCAACTTAATATATAAGTAATTGCAAAAGTAAAAAGCATTGAATAATGTGTTGCTTATATTTATTGTGTTTAAACATGTCTGGGAAAGATTGTATTACTGTACTGTGTAAAAAAAGAATTGCAATGCTGAAAAACATTTTCAGTGACAATGTTTGGATTTGAAATCAAAATAATGGATAAATGTTGTGTTTGTGGTAAACAGCCACGGATCAGTAGTGGACTCCTGTGTGAAAGCACAGTCCGTGCTGCTTCCCTTCTCACAAGAGTCACCTAAGAGGGGAATTCCCCCCATTTTCAAAAATGAAATTCAGGCCCTGAATAAATGTCTAAAAATCCTGATTGGAGTATCACTATAAATAGTTATAAATGATAAAAAGAAGGCTTTAAAAAGATCGGTATCGGTGATCGGTATCGGCAGATACTGCTTTCTGTGATCGGCCTCAAAAATCCTGATCGGAGCACCCCTAATATTCAGATAGAAAATATTACAATTTTACTGTTTTTGCTGTACTTTGGATCAAATAAATGCAGGCTTGGTGAGCAGAAGAGAATTCTTAAATAAAAAAAAAAACATTAAAAATCTTACTGTTCAAAAACATTTGACTGGTAGTGTAGGCTGATTATTCTTATAGATTGAAACAAATGTGCTTTAGACAGTATAAAGAGTATGAAAAGTGCTCTGAGTTGCTGCAGAAAAAAAGTGCAACAACAAAAACATGTTGCTCGAGACGGGCTTATTGAGAATGCAAACTGATTCTCCGCCAGCAGGAGGCGCTTTGAGAGTGGTACAACTAGCGGTTCCTCCAGTAATGGCTGTAATCAAATCAGCTCCGCTCATGAACGCTTCTTTATCAGATAAAATAAAAATGCTATCGAAACTTTTCTGAAGACTCCTTTCCCTTCAGAGATACATTCATATAAAACACACGTGATGTGTTTTGATTTTGAAACGTGCAGTGCTCATGTTAATTCAACAAAGTCAAATGCCACAAATAAATCAATGTATGGGAAACACTGGTAATGTATATCGAAATATCGGAAATGTGTTTAAAAATCATATCACCGTTATTGAAAAAAATTATATTGCGATACATATTGATATTGAATTATTGTCCAGCCCTACATAAAACCATGTCTGCATTTGTGATCGGAGAAACGACAAACAAGCGCTACTCTACACTGCTCAAAACTCGCGTTTGAATCGTCAGTGGCAAATCCTTTAAATATGAAAACATACTTACAGGCTGTGAGTCAGCATTATTTGTCAGCATCATAGACTGTATAGGGTCAGCATGCGCGCCGAAGGGGAAACAGGGGAACTGAATTCACCGGAACACCGGCATTGTAAGCTACTCTCCCAGGAAACAGTCCTCGTCCTCCATAAAATGCATTGCACACATTTGAATATTTGGATTGAACTGTTCTGATCTTATCTATTCACAAACAGCTTGTAACACTCCAAAGAGAAAGGAAAACTTTAAATCTCATCATATGACCCCTTTAAGTAAACAAACAGCTGAGAAAAAAACATGTGTTTCAATATATTGGATCTGTGCACTTCTTTAAAGTGACATGAATATCCAGTGTTTCCCCAGCCATTATATTAGGGGGAAACCACCATAGTCTGTTGTAGTGGCACTGGCATGTGCTTTTCTTTTTAAAAGGGGATGAAATGCTCAAAAAGCAAGGTATCAAGATATTTTAGTCAGGTATCATCTCGAAGTCAAAATTTTTGGTATCATAACACTAGTGCAAAGAGTATCATAGTTTGGCAAAATACATAGTGAAGTGACATGTGGCCAAGTATGGTGACCCATACTCAGAATTAGTGCTCTGCATTTACCCATCCAAAGTGCAAACACACAGCAGTGAACACACACACCGTGAACACATACTCGGAGCCATTTATGCTGCGGCGCCCGGGGAGCAGTTGGGGGTTCGGTGCCTTGCTCAAGGGCACCTCAGTCGTGGTATTGAAGGTGAGAGAGAGCACTGTACATTCACTCCCCCCACCTACAAACCCTGCCGGTACGAGACTCGAACCCACAACCTTTGGGTTATGAGTCCGACTCTCTAACCATTAGGCCACGACTTCCCCCAAATGATATCATATCTGCAAATGTACAATAAGTTACTACAGCACAAAGAAATATCTTGTTTTTCATTTACATTTGCAGTCTGCCTGCTTACCAACCCTATGATATGATATGATATCATTTCACCCTAATGGTGGGAAAGGGTCTTAAAGGGATTTTAAAGCCATGGTTTGTGTATGTGTGTCTCCTCACAGATTCCTACCTTTGGCCACTGGGGACGGAGTTGGCACATGGCGTCCCCATCCTTGATGGCTTGGCCAAAATTCTTCATTTCCATAAGCAGTTCTGCCCGCCGAGCCAGGAGCTGACATATACAGGGCTCTGTGGAGAGGAGAAGGGATTTTAAAAAGAAATAGATTTAACTAGGTAATTTTAAGGAGGTTGTAAGCTAGATAGTTGTGGCTAAAATGTTAACAGACTAATGTATTATTGCATTACATATAAAATGGATTAAAGACCACTCCAATGCATAAACAATATCAAAGGAACTATAAGGTCCTGAAGCATTTTTTTTTTGGTTGTGCAGTTTCATAACCCAGAACCGTCATAGCTAAAGCAGTATAGTCCACATAAATACAATGAATAAGTCTACACAAGAGAGGTGATGAAATTCTAGGAATATTTATCTACTTTCATTATAATTAATGAAGTGCATGACTTATCTTAATTCGTTACAATGATAGTGATCTAAAGGTTACTTTTAGAAATGAGAGCTTTTGAAATAAGAGCTTCCTGTTCCTGTCTGCTGTACTGCTGAGTGGTTTGCGTTTGTAGCTCCGTGTAGCTTTGTTTTTCTGTTGGACCGCTAACTGCTAAAGTATCATTTAATTCTCACCATATTTCTGATTTTACCTACCAAACTAATTTGACATCTTTAATCTTTTATTCTAAACTGCTAGTGCTGTGCGTTAGCAGCATGTAAGCAGTCTGTTAGCCTGTTAATCACATCTCCATTCGCATTTCCTACTGCTTCTTTTTTTCTGTCGCGCTCTGTTTTTTTTTTTTAATAAGTCCATCAAACAACTGTGGTGAGTCAGAATTTTTCTACAATCATGGAGAGTAATGGATTCTCCTTGCATTGCCACCTGTACTGCTTGCCACATGTTCAGCGTATCGGTCTCTGTCAGCAGCGAGGGATTCACATGTGATACATGCAGGGAAATAGTTAGGATGACAGAGAAAATCTCAGAACGAGAGAGACACATCCAAAATTGTTAATCACATCTCCATTCGCATTTCCTACTGCTTCTTTTTTTCTGTCGCGCTCTGTTTTTTTTTTTAATAAGTCCATCAAACAACTGTGGTGAGTCAGAATTTTTCTACAATCATGGTGAGTAATGGATTCTCCTTGCATTGCCACCTGTACTGCTTGCCACATGTTCAGCGTATCGGTCTCTGTCAGCAGCGAGGGATTCACATGTGATACATGCAGGGAAATAGTTAGGATGACAGAGAAAATCTCAGAACGAGAGAGACACATCCAAAATTTAATTGAGGACAGTAAGAATGTGAGGGCCCTAGATTGGATGCGACTAGCTTAGCAAATCATGTACATTGTTCGGTTCCGGTTGTAGAGCCCACGCAGCAGGGTGACTGGGTTATGGTGAGGCGGGATAGTCATGGGAAAAAACACCTCTCTTCTGTTCTGATTAAAACATTAAACAGATTCTCCCCACTCAGTGATGCACTCACTGAGAAACCTGATGAAATTGCTCTATTTTCACATTCCATACAATAGAATCGCCAATAACTAGAGTCACCAGCCATAGTCCAATGTTTACCGGGAGCCAGAGCGCCTGACATCTTGGCAAATTTAAAAGTGCTGGCTGATGCTAAACGTAAATTCAGTAAGATTGTTATTCATGTCGGCACTAATGGATGTTCGACTTTGCCAGTCGGAGATCACTAAAAATAACATTAAAAAGGTGTGTGAACTTGCAAATACGATGTCAGACACAGTAAGCAGGGAGGGGATCAGAGCATATTACAGTGGCGATGAGATACATAGCAGACTGTCATCACTCAATGGCTGGATGTCTTAAGTGGTGCCCGCAGAATAACATAGGTTTCATAGACAATTGTACGAGTTTTTGGGGCAGACCCCCTCCGGGGATGGTGCCACTTTCCTCTCTAGAAATATGGCACATATTGCCATATTTCTAGAGCAATTTTTGTACTTGACTAACTGGGGCCCAGTTCAGGGAACAGACAGACTGGCTAAACCGACGATCTGATTGCCACTTCATGTCACAAAAGTCAGTTAATTTTCAGCACATAGAGACTCTTTCACCTAGATATCACACTATAGAGACGGTGTCAGTTCCCTGAACTAGCAAATACAAAAAACATCCAAACCAATTTAAGGGTAACAATTTAATTGATATTCAACAAATAAAAAACAGATGTAATACAGATAAACAAATGATAAAGCTTGGCTTAATGAATATTAGATCCCTTTCCATGAAAACGCTTTTTGTAAAGGGGGAGGTGTTGCTACAGTTTATAACAATATCTTTAGTATTTCTCAGAGGTTGGGTTTCAAGTATAATTCATTTGAATTAATGGTGCTTCATATGACGTTATCCAAAGAAACAAGTGTTAATGATAAATCCCTTGTGACGTTTATACTGGCTACTGTATACAGGCCACTTACAGAATTTATCAAAGAATTTGCTGATTTTCTATTGGAGTTAGCCTAGTGCTGGCTACAGATAAAGTCCTTATTGTTGGTGATTAAAATATCCATGTTGATAATGAAAAAGATGAAAAAGCACCACCACCAGTCTTAATTCTAATTACTAAAGTTATATCATTAAATAATACTTGATTATCATAATATATTATAATGCTTGACTGACTGATGTTAAGACTGTACTTTCAGATATTTAAAAAAACTGTGCCATTCTACAAACAATATGTATTCTCTGTCCAGCGAGTAAACTAAAAAAAAATTACTAACCAATGGCGATTCAATTGCCAAGGTGTGCGTCAAGGCTATTTTCGTAAACGAAAACTAAAATTGACTAAAACGATTAATGAAAAAACAATCTCGTAAACTGAAATAAAATAAAAACGTCAAAACGATTGAAAAACTAACTGAAATAAAATAATAATTATCAAAAATAAATAATCGTTTTCATAATCGTTCTCACCCCTTGGAGGAAAAATATACAAGCTGTATGAAGGTTAAGGGAAATAGCCTGTAATGGCGCATCTCGCACACGGGGTTATCTGACGGAGAGACGCAAAGCAGTTTAAAGCCTGCACGGGTCCTGTTTGCTAAACGTGCCCCAGCAGTACTTAACAGAACACCCGACCCATTATCTGACAGCAGCACTAATTTAATTCTGTACCAGACTAGAACCGTTTGACAAAGACCGCGAGTCGCGACCCGAACCGCACTCGCATTATACTTGCAAGATTATTTATTTTATCATGTAACACAAGCAATCAAACCAACATTAGGCAAAGTCGGTGCTTTTAAGAAAAACAGACACGCAGCGCAACATGATAATTAACTGAAAAAAAAGATGAGCGCAACTTTTGCCTAGCATCTTCTGATCACTCTGCCAGGCTTTTGAACAAATGCGCATTGGCTAAATCACATCATACACACGCTTATAATTCTTCATAAATGAAAATAACATTAAAATATAAGCCTTTACTGATAAATGCGATTGCCGTTATTATTGCATTTCATTAGTCCCAGTTTTGATTTATGCACGACTGTTCACAGAAAAGTGAGCAAGACACCACAGTTACAATATCATGATTATGGTTAAATAAGAAAAGACAACCAAATCAGGCTACATTTATTTTCATACTAAATACCTCAACACACATCATTGGATACTAAGCTCAACTTGTGTAGATTTAGTAAAAAAGGCTTGACTGCTTTCTTTGGTGTAAGAAAGCAGTCAAATTTGGTGCAAATTTGAAAACGGTATTAAAATAAAACAAATTTAAAAATTCAAAACTATAATAACCTTGGTGTCAGTAGAGGCTTGTTTGTCCATATTAGGGATTTCCTGGAGTGTTGTCATTGCAATTACTTCTGCTATGCATATGTGGAGTTTCTGCACAAGGGTGCCCTCCGGCTTCCAGTATGAATTAAACAGTCATTACATTATGTGTGTACTCAGTAATGCTCACAAGTCAAATCAAGTCAAGTCACGTCACCTTTATTTATATAGTGCTTTTAACAATACAGATTGTGTCAAAGCAACTGAACAGCATTAATTAGGAAAATAGTGTGTCAATAATGCAAAATGACCCTCGTAAACACGCATTTTTCAGTTAAAGACAGTTCATCATTGGATTCAGTGATGTCATCATCCAGCTCAGTTCAGTTTAAATAGTATCTTTGCAATCATTTGCAATCAAGTCAACGATAATCGCTGGAAATGAAGTGTCCCCAACTAAACAAGCCAGAGACGACAGCGGCAAGGAACCAAAACTCCATCGGTGACAGAATGGAGAAAAAACCTTGGGAGAAACCAGGCTCAGTCGGGGGGCCATTTCTCCTCTGACCAGTTTACAACACCTAGGTAAAAATAGGGAAGATAATACTTTTCTCTAAAGCAGTGGTTCTTAATCCTGGTTCTCGCGACCCCCCGCTCTGCACATTTTGAATGTGTCTCTTACCGCTTCAGGGGTTTGTTCCATTCTACCATAAATGCCCTGTGAAGTGGACATCACAGGATATTCCGCCATGATTTCAGTTAGAAAGGTCATGCACATCTCGTCAGTAAAGCCGGTCCCGTGATTGGTAGTAAATCTCCATCGCCTGCTTTCAGATTGAGCGGCATTCACTACACAGAGTCGTAGTTCACTGACAATTAGGCAATATCGCATTCATAATCGCAGATGAATCGCATTCGATTATGAACGCGATATCGCCTAGCTTGTCAGTGAAATACGGCTCTGTGTATTAAATGCCGCTCCATCTGAAAGCAGGTGATGGCGATTTACAACTAATCACGGGACCGGCTTTACTGATGAGATGCGCATGACAATCGCATGTGATTAACTGCATAGCCCTAATTCAAATGGAATTGAAGTTCGCGAGACGTGACTTATGCAAATCTCATGATTACTAGCTCATGATTTGTGGCGGTTGACTTCCTTGAATAAACATGAGCACTGCAGGTTTCAAAATCTAAATGTGGCGCGGGTGTTTTATATGAATGTATCTTTGAAGGGAACCGACTGTCTTCAGAAACATTTCGATGGCATTTTCATCTGATAAAGCAGCGTTTATGAGCGGAGCGCTGCTTTGTGTACAGCCGTTACCAGGGAAACCGCTGTTACTGCCGCTCTAA